ACAAAAGTGCTCCAACTACATTTCATTTCCATATACACAACAACACATACTTAAAACAGGGTTCTCCAATATTTCTTATCCAGAGAGCCATTTTATCCTAAGCCCATCTGAATAAAAGTCGTAAACATTAGATGAATTTTACATAAAACACAACTTATAATGTTTAATACCATAAAACACAATTTATTATTTATTTTAAATTAATGCAAAAAACTGTTGCCATTTCAATTCACAGTCTATTTACATTTTTATTTATTTTTTAAATAAGGACAGGACATTAAAGATTCATGTGCAGGAAGCAATGATTTTTGTGCCATAGGATATTATTCTATGTAAAAACTAATGACAAGACATATAGAATGATAGAATGTCAAAAACATACAGTATTTCTGATTCTTTAATCTCATTCTGATGTGAAAATTAAACTCAAATGTTCTTTAAAAAACCTGCAAAAGTTTGTAAGAATGGTATTTATTAAGATACGATGTTGAAAACGATTCATTGGCTCATTATAATTTTTTTATCCAATATAGAGGGTCCAAGTGAGAGCTGCATGTTTAAAGTAAATTACATTTAAAATAACAAACATGATTTGATGAAATGGACGAAAGACAATATGAACAATATAAAACATGTCCTCTTATTTCCTGAATACAAAACAAATACAGGTGCTGGTCATAAAATTAGAATATCATGAAAAAGTAGATTGATTTCAGTAATTCCATTTAAAAAGTGAAACTTGTATATTATATTCATACATTACATACAAACTCATATATTTCAGATGTTTATTTTGTTTAATTTTGATGATTACAAATGACAACAAATGAAAATCTCAAATTCATCATATCAGAAAATTAGAATATTACTGAAGACCAATAAAAACAAAGGATTTATAGAAATGTTGGCCAACTGAAAAGTATGAACATGAAAAGTATGAGCATGTACAGCACTCAGTATTTAGTTGGGCCTCCTTTGGCCTGTATTACTGCAGCAATGCGGCGTGGCATGGAGTCGATCAGTCTGTGGCACTGCTCAGGTGTTATGATAGCCCAGGTTGCTCTAATAGTGGCTTTTAGCTCTTCTGAATTGTTGGGTCTGGTGTATTGCATCTTCTTCTTCACAATACCCCATAGATTTTCTATGGGGTTAAGGTCAGGAGAGTTTGCTGGCCAATTAAGAACAGGGATACCATGGTCCTTCAACCAGGTACTGGTAGCTTTGGCACTGTGTGCAGGTGCCAAGTCCTGTTGGAAAATGAAATCTGCATCTCCAAAAAGTTGGTCAGCTGCAGGAAGCATGAAGTGCTCTAAAACTTCCTGGTATGTGGCTGCGTTGACCCTGGACCTCAGAAAACACAATGGACCAACACCAGCAGATGACATGGCACCCCAAACCATCACTGACTGTGGAAACTTTACACTGGACTTCAAGCAACGTGGATGAAGTGCCTCTCTTCTTTTCCTCCAGACTCTGGGACCTTGATTTCCAAAGGAAATGCAAAATTTACTTTCATCAGAGAACATGACTTTGGACCACTCACCAGCAGTCCAGTCCTGTTTCTCTTTAGCCCAGGCAAGACGCTTCTGACGCTGTCTGTGGTTCAAGAGTGGCTTGACACAAGGAATGCGACAGCAGAAACCCATGTCTTTCATACGTCTGTGTGTGGTGGTTCTTGAAGCACTCACTCCAGCTGCAGTCCACTCTTTGTGAATCTCCCCCACATTTTTGAATGGGTTTTGTTTCACAATCCTCTCCAGGGTGCGGTTATCTCTCTTGCTTGTACACTTTTTTCGACCACATCTTTTCCTTCCCTTCGCCTCTCTATTAATATGCTTGGACACTGAGCTCTGTGAACAGCCAGCCTCTTTAGCGATGACCTTTTGTGTCTTGCCCTCCTTGTGCAAGGTGTCGATGGTCGTCTTTTGGACAACTGTCAAGTCAGCAGTCTTCCCCATGATTGTGTAGCCTATAGAACTAGACTGAAAGACCATTTAAAGGCTTTTGCAGGTGGTTTGAGTTAATTAGCTGATTAGAGTGTGGCACCAGGGGCCATCAATTTTGAACCTTTTCACAATATTCTAATTTTCTGATATGATGAATTTGAGATTTTCATTTGTTGTCATTTGTAATCATCAAAATTAAACAAAATAAACATCTGAAATATATGAGTTTGTATGTAATGTATTAATATAATATACAAGTTTCACTTTTTAAATGGAATTACTGAAATCAATCTACTTTTTCATGATATTCTAATTTTATGACCAGCACCTGTATATTCAAATACATTTACAGCAGAATCAGACATTTTACTGCATTCTGCTGCTAACAGATAGAGGTTCTGGGAAAAAAATAGTTTAGCTGGTCAAAAGGGATTATTTTCCCTTTTTTTAAGGATAGAAAGATTGAAAAATCCGAAAAGGTCAAAGAAATCAAAGTTTTTGTAGTTGTAAGCATTTCCCTTTCATCTGAAAGGTAAAGGGAGAAGTTCCAAGCTTCCATCACCAACTCTGAATTGTTAAAGGCCTTTGGATAAAGGAAAAAACATTTTCAACAACCAAAAAAAATGAAACCCTGTTCTTTTTTAACCATTTTCTGGAAGCACCATGTTCTAGCTGGCTGAGAATCTTCATTGGTAGCTAGAAATATCATACCCAATCAACAATGGCTGAATGTTTGAAAACAGTCACTCTTCTTTACATGTTCTCATAGTACCAGATGCTAAGAAAATACAAAAAGGACCAGAGAATTGACTTGTAGACAGAATGAAACCATCATTGGGTAAGTTATTTCATGCTGCGTCCCTATTAGGAACAGGAATGACAAACACTGGCTCTGGCCCAGGGCTGTGGGTAGTCTGGTTTGGTTTTTGTGTGGTGTTGCTATGACAGTAATGACAATAGTGAGACAGAGCAGCAGTCATGAGGAAGCTGAAAGACAGTGGAGATCCTGTTGGTGGGTTTGGGAGAGAAACAGGAGGAGGTTTAGAGGCTATTCACCGCCTGTTTCAGCCAAGGACGTTGACTGAGGAGCTTTAGAGGCAGCAGGGTGAGAGGTTAGAAGAAAAAAAAAAGGAGGAGGTCAATGAAAGAGAATATTTGGAGAAAAGTCTGACTGTTTGATAGGCGCTGGTTGGAAGAGGCTTCTTGGAGAGAAAACTGCTCTGTTCATCAACTGAGTTTCAGACTTCCAAAAAGCAGAGCAGAGCAAGACAAAAGGGGGTGTTAGAGCAGAAGATGGAGACTGCTGACATTATCATGAGTCTCAGGGGAATTCAGACGCTCAATAGATTCTACATTTGGTCTGTTTTCCCGCACATAGAAGATCGGTGGGATCTGAAACAGGACTGGGTCGGCCGTGGGTCAGGCTGTCTGCAGTTGTGCTGATCTTGGCGCTGCTGCGGCGCTCTGCATCTGGAAAAAGACACGTTCAACAGAGACAAGAACCAATGCTTTTGAAAGATGACCTCATTTGCGGTTTAAAAGTGTGAGGTTTACTGAAGCCGCTTTATAGATACCAGATCCTAACAAATACTAAATAAAAAGCATGCCTTGTTGTTTTTTTTGTCACTGTGACATATTTGATTACCGGTTCCTGTTTGAACGACCACATTTGCTTCTGTTTGCTAAATTCCAGAATATCTTTAGTTGTTAATTTCGTCAAAACCAGACTAACATGCATCAACGCTACCATGCATTTAGGCAATTTGGGAAAGATAATGAAGATATAAAGGCTTTGACACATATAATAGTTTAAGCTAAATGGAGGCACTCCTGTGGATGTGTTTCAAGGCAGCAGCCCAAACACATTTCCGGTGGCATGAAGGATATAAATAGATCAGCTAAGATCATAGGATTAAAATAATGGAGCTCCACATTTCTAGCTCAGGTTTGTGTTCACATTTTACCTGCCAGAGTAAGCCTTACTCATTGTTTTAACAATTATAGGTAAAAATTAAACAGAAACAAAAAAGCATCATAATAAACAAGCATTATATTCCTCAGGCAGGAGACGGGTTCTCTGTCCTGTAGATGGCTGTGTTCTTATCAACCAGGACAATGCTAATGACTGTAATGACACGGATTAAAAAGACTGCACTTAGATAAAAGATGGATTATAATCTGCAAAGATTTTTAGAAATAGGATCTGTGTTATGATTAAACTAAAAATTTAGAAAGGAGGGAAGCTTTTCAACCTGAGAACATTTCCTGACTGTGGGGATGGCAGCATCATGCTGTGTGATTGCTTTGCTCCAGGAGGGATTGGTGAACCTTACCGCGTTTTCTTCTATAAGCTGTTCTATGTATTTCAGGTTTTATGCCTGTTTTTTGTTTATTTTGTAAAACAATGATCCATAATCGGTGCTAGGTATTTATCACTATATCTTTACAGCTGTGAAGGTCAAATGCTTGATTAGAAGATTAGATTAAGAATGCTTTTGTTGTTAGATGCTAGTTTAGTTCAACCACAGCAATTAAGGCTTTGTTATGGTCTGAGAGCGGGCTGCATGTCTGTCTCCGACCACTGGCATCACCCATTAATGAATACTGGAGCGAAGCCTCCTTCAAACACAGCATATGATACATGATATCAAAGACTAATGGCTGCGATTGTGTCAGTCAGCGGCAAGCTTTTGGAAGCTCCACAGCTCTAATATGGTTGCTGAAATAATGATGAACCTTGGCATAGGCCCTGACTAATTGGTGATTAATATTTAATTGATCCACCTTTATTACATCGATGATCAGCCTCAGGTTGTTTATCATCACAGTGTTTGACTTTTCCAGTCAGGCGGTGTTCATATTGAAGTGTCGGTGCATGTGTCTGATCCCTAACATCAGAGAGCGAGTACTGGATCAGGGAGTTTAACTGAGCTTTTCTAGTGTGTTGTGGGTGAAATGCTCCGTTTGAATTGAGGAAGTTTTGGGCTGTATGTCGGGGTAGTGTCAGTTTCCTGTGTGACTGACTGAGCAAAGGAGGAAGCGATTTGACGGAAGGGGAGCACTTCCTTTAAACACCCACCGCTCTCTTCCCCGTCTCTTCGGTGCTACAAAGAATAAAAAGGGTCCCCCCCTCCCGGGATGTTGATGACCTGACAAACTCTAAGTACCTGTGTGTAGACATAGGTTGGACCTGTCTGACTCTGAGCCCTCTCTCTCCACACAGAAAGCTACCTGCTGACTCAACAGAAATCTTCAGTCTTCTCCGTGGTAAGATCGTTGGCACTTACAACGCACAATCCTGCTCTATATAATAAATCTAATATGATAAAGGCATGTGTTTTATGCTTCAGCATTTCAAATCTGTAGCTTTCGTTCTCTTTACTTCCTGAAAAGACCACTGTTTAATGTTTTTAACAAAAATGTTGTCTGCTTAAATATAAGATAACATTCCTTATGGTTTCTGTTTGTTCTTTTGGTATCAGGGTCCCTGATAAATGTCTAAGTTTAAACAATTTGAGGCAGCAGGTGGACCATGTGTACTGCACCTGTCTATCTGCTTCCGGAGGTTTCATTGCTGCCAAATTTCACACTTGCTCCCTCTGAGTCCACTCAGCTGGAAGGCAGAGTGCCATGTTAAACAGCTGCGTGAGCGGATGCGCCGTGCAGTCGGTAGAGTTGAAGAGAATAGAGATACAGCTGCTGCTTTCCTTCATGACACACCAAATGTTGTGGTTTTATAAAGGGATCAGTGCTCTACCATTCTGAATCCTGAGGAGAAGGGTCAACAGGAAACAAGATATGATCTGTTATGCTTTTCACCGTCTGGAGCTTTTGGCCTCTTTTTCCTGCAGTAACTTTCCTCCTCAGTCTGTCCTTCGTGTGCCTCTGAGTTTGTCATGAGGAGTCATGAGACTGGATCTGATAGAGGAGCGCTGACTCTGTTTGCTGCTTCATTTTTTTCAGCTCCTCTCATGCTGTCTGAGCATGGATGGTACACAGGACGGGGTTCAGATCGGAGAAAACAAGTTCATCAGCAAGTAAGCTTTCATTTCATTCCCACGTAACTTCAAACGGGTTGAAATTAAAAATAAATGTTTGTTGATGATTGGTCTTCTTTTTTGGGGGGGGATTCTTTGTTCTTTGCTGATTTATGGATCATTAGGAGTAATTTAACCGTTTTAACTAACTAGTTTGTAATATTTTAAACATGATATTTACACTTTTAGAAGCAACAGAATTATTGGTAAATAGATGTCATGTTAGAGTAAATGTCTGGCATCCCTGCTGTTCATACATTGTTCAGCCTCTCTCTTCTAATAGCACAGCACTTCGTCTCCTCTAATATTTCAAAAGGTGGGAGCATACAGAAAGTAATCTTGGACCATTCCTCTCTTCAGCTCCCCTAAAAGGTTTTCCGTATTCCAGCATAGATGGCCCTGGCAGAAGCCTGGTTTTGGCTCATTATCCTGATGAGAGAACCATTGCATCTAGTGATGCATCAATAATTTGGCCGACAAAAGTTTTCGGACGAATTTTCGGTTTTCAGGCACTTAACACTGAAACAACATGGCAGAAACTTGTGATGATGTGACAAACAGCACATCCAGCTCACAAAAACATCATCAAGCACGAGAACAGGACTGAAGAAAAACAGCACAGGTAGTGGAGCAAAGTTTTCAGAGTTGAACACTGAACATGCAAGTTAAAACACTGCGCATCGGTCTCACTGCACACTCAGGTCAGAGGCATTAAATGCCATAGAATCCAAACGTTCTTAACATGAGAAGAACAAGACATGAAAAAGTCTGTGGCGGACATGTTTTAGCACTTCGTAGTGACTCTGCTAAGCAAGAGAGCACATCAAAAGTCAGTGGTAAATAAATATTTTGATACTTATGTATTTGATTTTTTGAAATACCTTTAGTTTAATAAAATAATGAGTTTTTTAAGAGGGTTAGTACACATCATAGCCAAAAAATTATATGGTTTTAATATTTGATATAATAATTTCTTCGGTTTCGGTTTTCGGCCTTGGTTTCCTAATTTTTTTGCACTAAGTTTCGGACAAGGATTTTCCTTTCGATGCATCCCTAATAGCAACCATCCATCCATCCATCCATTTTCCATCACGTTTATCACTGCCAGGGTCACGAGGGGTGCTGGTTCCTATCTCCAGCTGTCAAGGGGCAAGAGACTGGGTACACCCTGGACAGGTCGCCGGTCCATCGCAGGGCAACACAGACACAAACAGGACAAACAACCATTCACGCACACATACACTCACACCTAAGGAGAATTTAGAGAAGCCAATTAACCTAACAGTCATGTTTTTGGGCTGTGGGAATAAGTCGGAGGTACCCGAAGAGAACCCACGCATGCACAGGGAGAACATTCAAAACCCTTGCAGAAAGATCCCGGGCTGGGAATCGAACCCTACCCACTGCCTACTGTGCAGCCCTAATGGCAACCAATCTTTTTTTCTTTTTTTTTTATCTGAATCTAGCAGTTTTATTTAACTCTCGCCTGTTTTCAAAGGACTTGTGATACTGGGAACACAAAGTAAAGTTTGGCATGTAGATGGAGTCTTGTGGTTGTTATGGCGACACAGTCTTCCCAAAATGCATCTCTTTGTTTTGAGTTTATTGGCTGCAGGCTAACAAAGTCTTTTTACCTCCCCTACCGTCCTGCTTCATGTTTGGTGCATTATAAATAAGGGTCCTTGTCAGACATAGTGGTCAGGGGGGTAACACAAATCTCTGTGTGATTCAGTGGTGCTGTGAAGCACTGCTTAGAGTATTGCAAAAAACAACAACACACATTTGAAGGTGACTGCTGGTTAAGTTTGAAAGGGACTCAAAACTCAAAAAATGTCAAGTATAATAAACAATAATTCAGTTCTCACGCTTGCTTATTTTAAGAGGTTGCTAATGGTTTCATTTACTATAGTACTAGTAATTCAAATGAAACTGTTATTGTTTATATAAGATTTTCTTAAATTAAAGTTAGCATTTTTCAAGAAATGTACAATCTCAGCATAAAATTTAGCGATAAACAATTGCTTTATTATATTATACATTGACACATCTTTTGCTGGGGTTCCAGTGACTGCTAGTAGAACTGTAGAAATACGCATCAACATTACCTCTATAGCTGAGAGACATGTTCAGATATTTTGAACACTGTCATAAAAGTTCAAGAAATCATTTGTAAACATGATTACAGTGAACACAAAGGTGGGTTCATATTTTGAACTGGTTCTGATGTTGTCACATAATAAAGCCGCTGAGAGAAAGAACTGAGTTTTGCGTTCCTTTTTTCTTCCTCAGCTGTAAAAAAAAAATGTCAGAGTAGTGGTGATTTTATACGTTTATAAGGCAGAGAAGAGGAATGTACATGTATACTGGCTGGACATGAACCTACCAGCACTAAAAAAGTTTAATATCTTCATGTGTTCTGTTTAATAATGTTAAAGTAATGAATCCAATATGCTTTTCATTAAATTCTGACCACACAGCAAATCTGTTTAAGCTCATGTGCTATGTTTGGTGCTTTCATTGCCTTTGCTAAAATATAACATTTTATTTCTGCCTTCAGAGCAACAGTCCTTTCACATCTTAAAACCTACAACCTTTATTATGAGGGACAGAATCTCCAGCTGCGGCACAGAGAGGTAAGCAGTTAAAGCCGTCTCTTACCGGTACTTTTATATTTAAGTAAAAGCAGAACAGTCCCAGCGTCTCCGCTCTTCTTTCCACTTAAATCTTTCCTTTCCTATCAAATGTAACTCGCCCTACTTATTAGACTGTCTGCCCCAAAGGCGTAATAACTGTCAGCTCTGTATAAACATTGATTAGTGCCCATGTCTTTAAACAGGAAGAAGAGGAGCTGATTATTGAAGGCTTGCTAAATATCTTTTGGGGCCTGCGGCGGCCAATCAGGCTTCAGATGCAGGATGACCACGAGCGAATTCGACCTCCACCGTCCTCAACATCCTGGCACTCAGGCTGCAATCTGGACAGCCAAGGGCAAGTGAAACCAGACGGATCCAGTTACACTCCAGTGAACGGAAATGGTGACGAGGGCAGACATAGCTTATAATGAGTTAATGACAGCTTTGTATAGATCTAAATCTCTTGACTAAATCTATGAATGAACCAGGAAACAGTATCTGAACAAGACAAACCTAACAGATTATTTTTTGTCTATATATATATATAGTTTTTTATTTATATATATATATATATATATATATATATATATATATATATATATATATATATATATATATATATATATATATATATATATATATATATAGTTTTCTATTCATTCATATCAATTTGTGAAGAAATCGTCACATCAATAAAAAGGTTTCAACAAAAAAAGCCATCCCACTGAAAATGATGTTCATCCACTGATCCATCAGGAACTTTGTTGAGGCTCTTTTTGCATAAATTCCTGCATCAGTGCAGTTTTACATGGAAGGATTTAATCTGTGGCTGTGCTGATGAGGAATGGAGGAGACGGACTGCTTTGATAACAGCCTACAGGTCATCCCAGAGTCTCACATCTTTTCCTTGATATTAGATCATAGTCTCTCTAAGGGGAATAGATTTGGTCCGGCTGAGGTCAAAAACATTGATACCATGCTCTTTTAAGGACGAATTAGTCCTTGATATGGTAGTATGGAAAATGAAATCTGCATCTTTAAAGAGCTTCTCTTCAGAGGTTGATGGCTGCTTTGACTTGTTAAACACAAAGCCAGGAGATATAATGGCTCTCCAAGCCTTCACTGGCTGTGAAAACATCACAATAGAGCTTAAACTGTTTCTAACTGTCCCTTTTCTGCTTTTCTATGAGACTCTGGGGCTCCATGTTAGATACACAGAAAGTTTTGACCAACTCCTGCTGGATAAGCTTCATGGACACTCAGCCTCACATTACTTGGCTTAATCTGAAGGATATAAATGGCATAACACCTGTCAGCATTCTTCCAATTATTATTTTTACCACAACATAGCTTTACTCCACTGAAAAGCTCTTTAATTGGCCATTTGTATCATGTGTATCATTCAGATATTAGAAGAAACAGAATTTAGTGTTTTTATAGGCTCAAAGGGCTTTTGTGAAAATCAACTAAATAAACCCTATAAATATATCACTTTTGTAAATGTAGAGCTTCAATTTCTGAATTGAGCAATTGAAATACATCAATCATTTCAGTTTTCTCAGATATCCATGTATATGGGCTCAGAATTGTATTTTTTTTTTAGTTCTTGTAAAAAAAAACAATGTTAAAGTAGCACCAGGAGTTAAAACCGACATAGCACATGTAGTTTATGGTCTCCTACTGGGTTTTAACAAATAATAGTCACAGGGAAAAATCAGCCTACATGTGTTGGTATTAAATTTGCCATTTAACAGGAAAGGTGACAGAGTTTGAACAATCCAAAAATGTGGTGTATGTGTTTTCTGCTCCTGTCTCATTTATTTAGCTATAGAAATCAACCTGTCCTGGAAATCAGCATTTCTTTTTGCTATAAAATGCATATTTCCTGTTTTAACAAGGTCGATGTAATGTATACTGTCCTTTTATAAAATATAAGTAGGGATCCCTCTGAATTTAAATCTATTTTAGGTCTGCATTGCAATTTTTCTTTTGTTTTTTTGTGATATTCTTTAAAGTTTTGTGATTTTTCAGCTCTTAAATACTTCTTTTGTTTCTCTTCTTTACATCTGCAGGTCTCCCAACAGCACAGACAGTCAACAAAACGTAGAACAAAGTCTTCCCACTGTGGAAGTGACTCCACCTGACAGCAAACATGAAGACAACGGGGTGTCGGATGAAGGTCAGTAACTTTTCAGGCAGTGCCAAACGTTTTCCTTTAATTGTTTAATGACCTAATCTCAGAGGGAGATGAAGGATCTATTAATCATTGTCAGTAAGTATGGGGATAGGAAGCAACATTGTTATAATTTGCATCATTTTAGCTTAATTAAATTGATAAATCATTTCTTTAATTGTGAAAACTGAGAAGCGATCAAGAGAGTAATGGCATGAAAACATCCTGATCCATAATGTCATCTAAGCAGAAAAAGCTAAATCTGCTGGATTCACTGGTACATGCGTGAAGCATAAGAGATGTCAACCAGCTCATCATCTGTCATCCAAAATGTATTTAGTGGTGGTGTCTTTTGAAGCAGGCAGTATTGTATGCATACAGTATTTTGTTTACTTTATAAGAACATGCTGCTAACTAGTGGCAAGGCAGCAAAATTACATCTAAATCACAACATTTCCCAATTAAATGTTGTGGCCCTGAAGTGTTAGCAGAAATGGTAAACCCAAAAAAATGTTCATGTTCACAAGCCTCAATAAATCAGACCTTTTCATTTTATCTGTAGAACCAACATATAGCTCAGAGTGTTTTGTTTTTTACCTGTTATTGTGCTTCGCTAATTATAATAAAGGTTGATCGAAAAGCTGATTGGATGTTTGTTAGAATATCGTTATAACAAATAGTTTTCTCCAGAAGAATTATAATTGTAAAATGTAGTTTTTAACGACCAGTGAATGCTTTTCTACCTTTTTCAGCAAAAGTAATCTTATAATCTATTTACTCAATGCTCAGAGGACAGTGAGAGCTTTGCTCAGCTTCTCCGGACGAAGAGCGATGCTGGGGTTTTAAGACGCGGCCAGCGGCGGTCTCCAAGCGACCAGAGGAAAATTAGACGCCATCGATTCTCCATCAATGGACACTTTTACAACCATAAGGTGTGAATCTCCAATTATTCAGAAATAGAAAATAATACAAACAATATTAATGTTTTTGTTCTTTTTTTTTAGACAGCAGTGTTTACGCCTGCTTATGGCTCAGTCACTAACGTCAGGATAAACAGCTGTATGACCACGCCCCAGGTGCTCCGAGTTCTCCTCAACAAGTTTAAAATTGAAAACAGCCCCGAGGATTTTGCACTCTATCTTGTCCACGCAAGTGGAGGTCAGTGAGGGCTGTTTGGTTTTATCTTTTTTCTACATGGAAATGATTTGGTGCTCGTAGAGCCATCTTATATCATCTTTCTCTGAGCATTCAGCTTCTGTTTGAGATTACATCACAGAAAGTCATATTACAGGCTGTTTAAATTAGTCTGCTCTTACAAACTTTTGTCTGCATCAGTCTCTGGGTTTATGACAGGCCGTTTTTACATTTATTAAAAGCACTCCTCTCTGTTGTTCAATTTGTAGATCAATAAAATAAGATTCTTCCTAATCAAAATCACACTCCTTGACTGAACTATAATATATTTTCTAAATTACATTTTTGTAGCAGAAACTGAATTTTAGAAAGTAAAAAAAAATATATACTAGTAAGAATTAGGTTTTATACATCTAGAAATATATACACAATTTTAGTGGCCATTCTTACATTTTTCAGCTTGACTGAAAATTTATTTATGATATCTGAAAAAAAAATTTCATAGTTAAAATAATACAAATGCTGACCAGTAATATTAGGAATATGGAGATCTGAAATGTATTTCTAGTCATCCAGAATGTTTATTCTAGATGTGGAGAATGTCTTTTCATTTGAAACGGTCATTTAGGCAAAGAAAACATTTTTTTTTTCAGATATCAGAAAATACATATTCAGTAAAACTAGTACATATCAAAATGCCTTGCCATAGTCTGTTGTGACTGCGATAATATTATGGGATTATGTATTGAATTGTAGTGGATCAATGTATCTATTTAGGGGAAATCTTCTAGCATGAGGTGAAAAACAAGTCTAAAAACGTTGCTCTAATATATAGAACATGTGGATAATCTCATGCGGAGACAGAGGACACTCCGAGTTTACAAAAGAAAACCTGCTACCGACCAGGTTAGCTCTGGGGAGAATGTTGCTACAGTGACTGAAACAGAGGTTGAATAAACTCTTATTTATGAACCGGTAAAGTCAGAATATCCCTGTTTTCATGTTAAGACAGCTTAGCGATGTCGGTAAACCTGCTTCGTGAAACGGACCTCAGTAGGGGGAGAGTGCTATGTTGTTTTTTTATTGTCTCCATGGTAACATCTGGCAGCGACCATCCTTCCCTGTGCGTAAGCAGTGGTAGATACTGTTTGAATTGCTCCTGTTGCTCCACTTGATGGTATGCAAGCTAGTGACAAAGACAATCTGAGCAAAGAGTTGCATTGATGTCCCTGTGCTGCTTGGACATGAGGAGATGTGAACGGATGACAACAATTCAGACAAAATAAAATCTGTTTTGTTTCTTTATTTTCAACATAAATTAAGGCTAGATTCTGCAGCCCGGGGCCCTTTTCAAAATGATTCGGACCCATTTGAACTAATGCTGATATCGGTTTCTGCGACCAATCCATATATCGCTGTAGCTGTTATCGAGAAGGAGCTGTGAAAAAATTTTAAAACATAATGCTGTAATTTTGGAGCCTCGCTGGAGCAAAGTGATGTGATGTTACTGTAAACCTTTTTAGGATTTCTTTTTAGTTCTTTGTTTACAGTCAAGTAAAACTGAAAGCTTTAGATAAACAAGACAGTTTTTCTTAATGAGATTATTGTTTAAAATTAATACATCAGCAGATGTTTAAATTGGTTAAATCTCATTTCTTTACTATTCTAATGTTTAGTGTTACTTAGGTAGCTGCCATGTGATTGGCTGATTACTGTCAACAAGCTATTTAGCAGGTTTAGCTACATGATTTCTGTGTTTAGTTCATGTTGGTGCATTTTTTATGCTGGTGTTTCAGAACGTGTGAAACTGAAGCGGACTGACTTTCCTCTGGTGCTGAGAGTCATGCAGGGCCCCTGTGAGCAGGTCTGCAAGGTTTTCCTCATGGAAGAAGACTTGGGCGAAGAAGTCACTTATGATGTAAGTCATAGCATGAATTTTCCTACATGGTCCTCCCACTTTGATGCTGGCCTAAGAGGGATCTTAAATACGGGAACTACTCCATTAAAGGTTTTCCTCTTTCTTCCAGGTGGCACAATATATCAAGTTTGAGATGCCTGTCCTTCAGAGTTTCATCACCAAGTTGAAGGAAGAAGAAGACAGAGAGGTGCAGAAACTGAGAAGAAGGTAACATGAATACAACATTTAATGTAAACATTTGAAGAAACTGAGATAATAAATCTTGTACACCCGAAAACTACATTTTATATCCTCCTATTTCCATACGTACAGGTATAATTACCTTCGGTGTATCATTGAAAAGCAGCTTCGTGGTCTTCCAGAAGGAACAAAGTGTATTTAACCAAATCCTGGTGAGGACTCATTCACGCCTGGACACACTCCACATTGTCCCAGCTGTCACCAACAGAGTTCATAGACTCACAGATGAGATCTAGCTCCTTTGAATTTCCTCCAATTCACTCCACCTGCAGACAGCATGTGAAGCCTAGCGGATTATAAACCTAGCGGATTGCGTTTACATGATAGTTCACATAAAGTAACAATGGATCTTGATAAAATGAAATTACCTCTGTTTTTATTTTATGCTTTCCATACACCGCACACAGAATTGAATTTCTGTTTTCCCGACTAATTTTACCTTTTTTTATTTGTTTAGCTGCCTGACTCTTAAATCAGGGGCCGCGTCACCTGTTCTTCCTCTGGATATTATTCTAATCCCTTTCAAGCACAGCTGTAAAGTGAAATGATTACAGTATTATGAAGTGCCTCTTTTAATAAAGCAGAAAATCCTTACAAATTATCAACATTTTTTAATCTGAGCCAATCAATTTTTGAAGCACAAGAGCAGAAAAAAAGCACATGGTTTTAGATCTGAATTCTGATGTCACTGTTATCATTCACATGCCTCCCTGATCAGCAGCCGTGGGAATCTGGCCACTGATTTTATATTTATTCCCCTGGTTTCATTTATGCTGGTAAATCTGAAGGCTCTTTCATGTCCCTAGCTCTGCAGATGATTTTTCATGATGCATATGTAAAAAAAGAAAAACGTCTTTTGTACTTTTGGTAATTTCCTTTCTGTTCTGAGTTTAATACTTTGATGCTATACTTTCAAATATTTCCCACATATGAGGTTTTTTTTTTCCTAGTTTTTTTTGTTGTTAAAATGGCAAGCTGTTTTAACATAAATTCGGCTGTAACGCCTTTACATTCAACATATCTCAAATTATTTAATGATGAGACGTTTTAGCGATTTAAGATATCTCGAATAGGTATTTTGACTAGAGATATCTCTAACTACATTCTGACTAGTCGAAATAACGTCAGATTTAGCATTAACTTGTATGGAGACGCAAATTTAAGATATCTAGAATGAATTACTGACCATCTGAAATACACATTTCAGATACCTACGATTAAATTACGACTAGTCAAAGTAATTTCAAGATATATCGATTTTAGTTTTGACTAGTCATAATTCTAATTAAAGATATATCAAATGAAACAATAATTCATGATATCTTACATTTATTTTAGGATAGGAGATATGCAGTTTTGACTAGTGAAAACTAAATTATAGATATCTTAAAAGCAAATAATGACTAGAAAGAACAAATTTAAAGATATCTTGAATTATAATTTCGACTATTCGAAATTCCTTTTAAGATACATCTAAATTAATTAAAGATATCTTGAATTATTCAGCTTTTCCATTAAAGATATCTTAAATTGACATTCTGACTAGTCAAAATGTGTCATGATCTTTTTAATGGGCTTCCCGGAGGATAATTCCTAAAAACATTCCTTACTATCAGTTTAATCCACAGGAGGAAAAGTTAAATCAGCTCCATTTACTGTTATTTTCAGCACCCTTACATATGAATTACCGACATGTGGCGCTTTAAGGGCCGGATTTATCAAGATCCAATTTTGCGTGCAGTAATTTGCGCTCGCAAACTGGAATTTTGCGCGAGGGGTTGAACCATGGTTTGCGGGTGATTTAACAAGAGTGATTGCGTAACTGGTGGAAGGTGCAAAACTGTTGGAGACGCCCTATTTAAATGATGGTTTTGCGCGTTTTGTGGTTTGTGGCAAAGTAGTTTGTAGTCTGTACAAACTACTAGTGCATTAAGAAATTTAAATCTTACAGTGACCCCCAACAAAAAAAATAAAAAATTAAAAAATAATATATATATATATATATATATATATATATATATATATATATATATATATATATATATATATATATATATATATATATATATATATATATAAATTGGCAACCTTTATTCCCTAAGGTGGTATGTGCTGCAGTAAAAAAAAAAAAAAAACAGGTGTTTTGTATTGGCCTGTGACTGTGGATGAGATCCCCGCAGCATTTGGTACGTTGCTCCACAGGCTCAGGGGGAGAACCCCGACCCCGTCGGACAGCACTTCTGAAAAAAGGAGATTGGGAGATCCCAGCTCTCGCTGCAACCGTACGCTGGAATGACCCAAATGCAAAAAAGTGCAATGTTGCAAGGAATTTTGTGATATCTGGTATTGCGTGGGTCCTCCTTGTGGCTGGCTCCAAATCCATTCGGAGTTCCCCCAACAGCTCCAAAATGGCAATGCTGGATAAACGATATGTTTTGATGATCGTTTCCTCGTTCATTCCAAAAATATTTACACGGAGTGAAAAAATGCGTTCTCTGCATCTCCTTGCTTCATTTCGATGTCTCCTTCTTGCGACAATAACCGCTGCCATGTGTGCGCAATTACGCATACAGACCATTTGCACCTTCTTTTGAAACGTGTTAAATATAGAGTCAGATAGCGTTAGCAAAATTGCTTTCAGGTTTGATAAATCTCTTTGCGAGTGCTAAATTAATATATTTACATGTTCTCCTCCCACAAGACGCACTTTTGCGTGTAAACGCCCCATATTGCATATTCATTGCAGAAAAAGTACTAAATGGATAAGAGGCGCTATTTAGCACATTTTAAAGACCAAATCCTTTTAGCACGCTGTTGATAGATCAGTTTGTACATTTTTTAGCGTGCCCAGTGAAATAGCTCACGTTTTTATACACGCAAACCTTTGATAGATCCGGCCCTAAATGATGAATCTGGTGTCGTAATTTGAGATATCTTGAAAGAAATTTTGACTAGTCAAAATGTAATTTAAGATATATTGAATTATTATCATTCCTAATCAGAATGTAAATACAGATATCTTAAATTACCATTCTGGATAGTCAAAATGTGGTGTTGTCTAGTCAAAATGTATTTTAAGATATCTGGAATGTAATTATGGATGGTCAGACGAAACCGAATTTATGTTTAAACGGCTTGCCATAATGACACTGGAATCTTACTTGACAGACTGATGTAAAATTGTGAATCGCTGTAAAGTGGAAGCAAAATGTTGCATCATGAGAGGTCCAAACATTGACTGACATTTGTTTTTAGCCTTTTTAGACTTTGTTGAACTACCTTTTAAAGCAATGCCAGTTGCAAGTCCTTAGATGTAGCTTAGATGTAGACTGGGCCAATCTAACTCATAAACATACTACGAAGATGCATTTTATTTCCTAATGTTCTCTAGCAAACCTCTGAAGCCTTCACAAGCAGCTGAAATTAAGTTGGGATTAAAAGGACCATATTTTATTTAGAAGCATCAGATTATCAGATTTTAATTTATGTAAAAAAAAAAAAGCATTAAAAACAAATTATTTTTCTTCCACTTCACAATTATTTTTTTTTATTTTGGGTCTAGCTGATAAAATCTCTATAATAAAACTCATTGTGGGGAAAGTTAATTGGGTATGAATACTTTTGCTAAGCATAGTACAGCTGATACGACTATGAACCAGGTCATGTCTGAGACTGAGGCATTTAAGTCTCTTGTTGGAGCTCATTAACTCACTGAACTTGTTTCAAAGTGTGAAGGTGACGCATTATTTCACCGGCTCATGTTATTCTCCTCGGTCTGAAAGTTGCTCTCACTGATTTACTCAAAAAGAATTGTGTGAATCAGTCAGAGATGGCAAAAGTACTCACTTTCCGTACTTGAGTAAAAGTACAGATACTTGTGTTAAAAAATACTCTGGTAAAAGTGGAAGTACTGATTAAAATTCTTTAGTCAAGTAAAAGTAACAAAGTACAGGCTTGTAAATTTACTTAAAGTATAAAAGTAAAAGTAGAAACCACTTTTTTCATGCCGTTGCCTACATTTTAAATGGATGTCTGCCAATAGGACTAGATCTCCATTGTGTTCATTTTCAATCATCTCGTCGTCCATGCTACTATGCTAACGCCACCGCCACCAAGCTGCAATGATTTGCCGCAAATGAATACCGCCGAATCTGTCGATTCATCTTGTAGTGGTGCGTCAAATGCAACGTAGATTCCCATCCAATTAGACTGAATTTGGTATTGATGGCGTGGAAAATAATAACGGTAACTCCATTGAAATGATTCAAAACTAAAGTAACGAGCCAATTTTTTAAAATGTAAGGAGTAGAAAGTACAGATATTTGTGTAAAAATGTAAGGAGTAGAAGTAAAAAGTCGCCATAAAAATATGTAGTAAAGTAAAGTAAAAATATCAGAAAAATCTACTTGAGTACAGTAACAAAGTATTTGTACTTCGTTACTTCCCATCTCTGGAATCAGTGAATATTTATCTGCATACATAAAATACAGGTTGGTTTTTTGGTAAATATTTATGAAATTATGTGCTCGCTTTGTTGATTTATATAAGATTTACAGTCTTTTTACACAACTGATTCTTGTATTTTTATTTTTTGTATCATGTAAACAAAATCTGGTTAAAAACATGCGAAAAGGCAATAACAACTCACCTTTTTTTGGGACTTTCCTTCATGTTTAGCGTCAGATTAAACACAAGAAGCACAACAGAAAAAAAAATAATGAAAGCCAGTTAAAGCTGTGAATTACTTTAGTGATCTTCAAAGAAGAATGTCTGACATGTATGAATGAGCTCCTAATGAGCAGTACTTTGCATATTTTATGTCTTTAGCATTTCTCTCTCACTCTCTGGATAATTCACAGCAGACTATCAGTTTCTTTAAGACTCTAAAAGCGCATGTTTATATTTTTAGAGACTTATTATACTTGCCTGCTTTATTATTCGTCTTTTACATTCAATTGACTTTTTAAATGGCTTTTTTAAATGTGAAGAACTCATGCTGCCCCTTCAAAAAAAGAAGTTTGTTTTTCATACAGTGATTATGTTATTTAATAAAAAGCTGTCTTTGGAAAAAGTGTAGATTGTACCGTATGTTTGGTTCAGGTTAACAATCTTCAAAGTGGCTGAAGTGTTTTCTGTTTTGTTTGCAGTCACACTGAAATGTTTATTTTTTTTTTTTTTTATTTTTTTTTTTAGAAAAGGTTGATATTTCCAAATAACTTGACTAAATATAAAATCTAATTTTGTTCAATGAGGATTTAATTTATTTAGTATAAAATGTGTTATCTGCTCCAAAATGAGCCCAATTTTTTTTAAATAAGTGGATAATTAACATCCTCTAATTCCAACATGTATGTGAACATTTTGTAGGTTTTCATTTCTAAAAGAAAAAAAGGGACACTATATATATTTTTGTTGGGGGGTGGGGGGGGGGGTTCACAAATTTTTATGTTCTTTTTTGTTTTCAGAGACCAATGACAGGATGTCAGCCACTTTTCTATAAAACTGGTCTCTACATTTAACCAAGTTAAATCATCAGTACGCTTTAGATTTGGGTCGGGTTTTAGAAATGCTGTTTACTGCGCTATTAAAAAGAAAGCAAAA